CCCTGCCAGGCCGTGCCCGGGCGGGGACGGGCCCCTCCGCCCGCCGCAACAGTTGGACACCCGGCCTTGGGGTCCGCTTGAGCCCAGGGGCGAGAGGAAAAAGTCGAGGGGATGGCTCTTAGCAGGCATTTCCATCCCTCCTAACGCAACAGAGGATGGGGGGCACCGAGGAATTATTTTAGCACGGAGTGTGGTTTTGGTTTAGCAGTTACGGCGGCATCCTGTAATCATTTACAGCCCTTGGAATGTATGGGTGAAATAGGAGAGATTTATCTGTTCATAGTTGTGATATGTAGACAATGGGTGTTCCTAATGAGGAACATCTGCTTTTGTGTTTTCCCAGAAAACATTATTCCACTATGAAAATGATACTCCCATCCTTTTCAGCAACACCGCAAAGAAAATATGGGCCTTTTCCTTTCTTTTATTTGCTTTTCTTTGGGTCAGTCTAATTTCCCAGGGACACTTTTTCCGTGGCATCTTTTTACTGACTGCGCTGCAATTTATGGTGGGTTTGTTCTTTAATACGTGAGTTACTGTGCTGTATGAATAGCCCCGATATGCCAGCAGATACTTAAATGTATACAGTAATAAAAGTGTACACACTCAGCCACGCTTCGTGAGAAACATCGAGGCGACGTAAATAAAAATTCTCAGTGAATTAAAAGGTCGCAGAGGCACGCGACACACAAAACTGCTTCCAAGGCCTCTGGTTTGGTTTTTTACGTTTGAAGCGCGCTGCAGGATTCAAACGCATAATTACATAAGTTTATTTAATATATCTTAATTGCTAACAAATTACTATTCCTGAGGTGCATTTTTTTTTCCTTTTTTTTTTTTTTTTTTTTTCCCCAGTGCGATAAACAATTCAGACTATCACAGAGACTCCTAGTGTGGGCTGGAACAAATGGGTGGCCATAGATCTCAATTCAGGATTGAATTATTGGTTCGTATCCTGAGGACAAATATGCCTTATCTGGTCAAAAGCTGCTAAATGTATCCAAAGGACAAAAGGATCTAGTGAAGCATATTGTATATAATTCTTTTTTTTAAGCCAACTAACCAAGCGGTAACACTTCTTATGGGAAACTGTAAATTGACCCACAAATTTGATGGGGAAATGTTGTTCTGTGATGCTCAAGAGGAAACACAAACCTGGAATTCAACACCGACAACAAATTTAGGTAACAAACTATTAACGCAGGGATCGAGCAAGCTTCAGTCGGGGAGGGGGGGGGAGGTTAAAACACACGTCAGTTGTTTCAGAGGGCTACTGCTCTCACAGAGCTCTCTCACGGCCGTGCTTTCCTCCTACATTTGCTGCGATTTGCTCGGAGCAAACGTTACACTCGACAGTTTCTCGAAAACACATCTTGAGAGGAAGAGTGTCTCACCGACCTCCTCGCTGAGCCGCATGCAGCACGCACCCGAACCCTCCTCGGATTTTGACATGATCAGTGACAACTCTCTTCAGAAGGCTAAAATGCATGCCACCCCCATAAAAAAATCAAATCTCGAAAATTCCTAATGCGGAAGGTGATTAAAATTCCTATAAAATTGTCATATCTTTAAATTTAGAAGCACAGCAGATTTTTCATCAATAATTAAGATCTGGAAAGCATTTATGCTAGGCATAAAAGGAGTTTCAATCTTCCTTATTCAAATAAACATGATAAACCCATTAACCAAATGTTTTGTGATTTTTTTATTTTTTTTTTTCTCTGTATCTTCTCATGCTTCTGGAGTATCAAATGCTAACACACTTCGGATAGTTTGGGGAAGGTATAACAGCACTGACACTGTATAGCTCGTTTCCATTTTGCCAGGTCCACCCTTCACAGAACCGACATAAATTATCTCACAGCGATTCCAGGACGTTATTATTCTTTATCATTATAATCCCTAATCACTGAAAAACGTTACGTGTGCTGCGTTTCCTTGTGCGGACGGACCGTAAACACGAACTACTTGTGCATTTTTCAGGGTATATTCAATAGGCGCCAAACGATCACGCTGACCACAGCCCTAAATTAAAGTCCGGCCGAGCACAGAATAGCAGAATATTATTCTAATTTTCATTCCCAGATAATTTTCACGGCGTTCTGGTGTGGTCACCCTTTAACGCAATTCACCGTTTACATCTGCAAAAGTCGCACGTATCTCCTGAAAACTCCGAACAATGAACGTGCCCGTAATCCAATCATCAAACCTGTAACACGCTGCCTTGCATTTACCACGCCGCCGAGATTCCTCCACTTCCAAACATTTTTTTAGCCCCAAAAGCAGAAATAAATCCAGCTCACAAGGCAACAACCCCGCGCTATATGATTTCCATAGCTAAAACACTAAAGACAAATATAATTATATTGATTTTTTTGTACTTCGAGTTCTATAAAGTGGTGAACTTGTTCTCAATTGCCTGACACAATCCCAGAGTGATGGCAACAACTGGTCAGCCCTATTTGATTACTAATAAGAGAGATGTCCCTTCTGTCAGATA